CAAGAATAAAACCAAATTACTCTCATTTTCACTGTAGATGTTTGCCCACTTCTCTGAAGCTGTCCTCAAAGGCACATTTTCTATACTAAGAGCTTATCAAGGTGTTTTTTTCCTTTTGCCCTAGACAAAGGCAATTTTCTTCTTAAAAAGAATTATTGTGAAAGTTGTTAGGATAATAAAACTTTATTGTCTCCAAAGTTTCCTTCAGAGTAGCTGGCAGTTCTTCTTTTAATGATGAACATGTACTCCGCTCACACCACATTTACACCCTACTGCCTGGGTCCGTGCCATTCTGTGCTCACAACGTTTTGCTTCAATGTTAAATCAAAGTTCACGCTTCAAAAATATTTAAAGTGACACTTCATCTGAGAAATGCACTTAAAAAAAGATAATAAAGCTTCTATCCAGCTTTTTAGATAAAGAGACGGCAAGGGAAGAACCAATTCTGAGAATTACAAAAGGTTTTCAGGGAATAGGTTGCCACAGATGGCATATTTCATCAGGTAAAGAAGAGATCGAGGCGGTGTTTCAGGTAGAAGGAATCAGATGGACAAAATCAGAGAAACATAAGCAAGCATGGTGGGTCAGGGTCACAGAGAGGGGAAAGATGGGAGAAAGCGAGAGAGAACTCTGGAAGAGTAGGCTGGCAAGACGAAGGACCCGGCTCTGGTGTTTGCTTAGGACTGACAGGAAGCCCAACTGAGATGAGAGATGGGAAGCTTTCATAGGCTAATATAAGGCAGCAGTGTTTGCTCATGTCAATACTGTTATTTGCATGTTCTTGTCATTGTTATTACCAACAACCGGAAGTCAGCCATGAGTCCCAAACAGGAATGATTTGATTCAGTGGCTGGTGTTTTCCAGTCCTCTTGTTCTTGGTCTTAGGAGTGCACTGTGGGTTGGGAAATGAGAAGCAGGGCTTCTGTTTCTCTCAGGACCTGCAGATTCATACCCACAGTCCTGGGGATAAACTGTTGTGGTAGGTGATGCTTTGATAGAATGTTTTTTCATGAAACTTGTGAGCTGTGAAGATCCACTGTCAAAAATCTTGTGAGCATTGCAAAGGAGTGTAGGAGGTGGCCTTCTCAAATACTGCTACTCTCTGCTTCATGTCATAATAAACTCTAAAATTCAAATTTCAAAGGAACACTTCTCTGGTGGATGGGTGGGCTGGTGGGTGGAGGGGTTGACTGAAGGCTGAGAAGGAAGTGGGTAGAGTTGTCAGCCCCAACTGAGAAGGGCTGCAGACCTCGTTGGGACTTACAAACGTCCAGAATGTCAGTTAGTTCCTCTTGACAAATGATCTATGAGCTGATTTTTCTGAAGGAAGAATAAAACTGAGTGGGAGGCCCCTAGGCAGTCTGTGAGTTGATTCTGGGTATTTGATTGGGTGATTTCTTCTTCAAAGTGGGAAGACAATGCCACTTGGCCATCAAGTGGGTGGGACCCCATGCAATGTGCTGATGCTGGTTTATTATTTAAGATAATGTTTGGGAATGCAATAGACTTTGGTGCTCAGTAAACTCCTTCTTTCATTAAAAGTCTTAGGACCAGTCATCTATTTTGTGCTGTTTTTATTTTCTTTATTTACATTTAGGTTTTTCTTAGTGTTTGATAAATTTCATCTTGAATATGTCAGCCTGTCTCAGTTGTGAGAAGAAAAACAAGGAGAAAGATTATGTTTACCTTGAGCTGAGAGTAAAAGAGGGAAAGTATTTCTCTCTCATCCTCTCTGCCTCCCCAGCCCTAGGAGATGGGGACTTAACTTGGTGGTAGCAACGGGAATCAAAATAAAAGAACTCCAGGGAAAGATTAAAGCTCAGACGAAGCGTTGGGATGCTGGTGTTGTCCCAACTTCTTCACCTGCCAGACCTGTTTCCATGTATGTTCTTCTCTGGGGGATGAAAATACAGATTACCAAATGGAAAATTTTTGTGTCTTTCATATTCAAAACACTGATTCCATCTAGGGTAATTTTTTCTTTTTCTTTCTTTTTTTTTTTTTTGAGAATCCCTTATGGCTAGAATCTATGGAGAAGAGGCACCCTGGGTAGGATTTTTGGCTTTGTACTGTTGCATGACCCTGAACACATAAAAACTTCAGTTTCCTTCCTCATATTGATATGCATAATACCAACCTCATGGGATGGCTGGAAAATTTAGGACAAAATTTAGGTAAAGTACCTATTAATTGAGTACATGGTGGATATATAAATGGTGTCAGCCTTTATTATTACTTTTTTAAATTGCATGTAACTGCTGAGGTAGATCACCATAGAGGGCAAGATTAGAGGGAATTGGCATGGCCTCTCTGCCCTTTCTTTTGTTATGAGAAACAGTGTGGTATGGGGAGGTAGCACAGTATGGGGAGACAGGCGTTAGACTGTCTAACAGGCGTGTGACCTTGGGCAACTTATGTATTCCCTCTTGTTTCTCCTCAGTTTCTTCAGCCATCACATGGAGGGATCTTGTGAGAACCCAATGATACAAATACATCAACTGCCCAGCAGAGCGCTTGCCCTCTCAGCTTAAGAAATAGTAAGTTCATCCTTCTGTTCTTCTTATCCACATCTGCCTGTCTCTCCACACCAACTGTTAGGTTGGCCAAAAATTTCATTTGAGTTTTTCCATAACATCTTATGGAAAACCGAGATGGACTTTTTGGCCAACCCAATTTTTTCTTCAGGTGTCATGACTGTGCAAAAGATTTTATTTTCTAGGCTCAAAATCCTGACTTGCATGTGTGCTCAGCTGCTAAGTCATGTCCGACTCTTTGTGATGACCCCATGGACTGTAGTCTGCTGGGCTCCTCTGTCCATGGATTCTCCAGGCAAGAATGCTGGATTGGGTTGCTATTTCCTCCTCCAGGATCCCTCTTCCCAACTGAGGGATCAAACTGGTATCTCCTGCATTGGCAGGCAGATTCTTTTACCACTAAGCCATCTGGGAAGCCAAAATCCTGACAGTAGGGCTAAATGCAATGATTGAGCCTAGGTTCTTTATCTGTTTTTTTTTTTTTAACTTTTATTTGTTCCATTTTATGGCATTCCTTTCCATGAAATAAATGTTAATTGAGCACCTATTATATGCCAGGGATGATGGTACTTACTGTGATTAATGTGACAGTTCTTCTCTCAAAGAGTTCCCAGATTGAAATATATATTTCCACAGTCTGGAAATAATTTCACGATGAGACAGACTGTTCATGCTGGAAAAGAGGTGAGAGAATGTAAAGGTTCAAAATCAAGGCAGGTAGCACCTGAGCTGTGGCAGGATGGTGACGACTGGAGGAAGTTCAGTGGAAGCCAGCCGGGAATACTCCTAGAGCTGGGAAGACTTCCTCTAGAGGGAGGGGCTCCAGGTAGAGGGAACATCCTGAGAAAAGGTTTGGGTGTAGAAGTGCATGAGACACATTTGGGGAATGGTGACAGTTTGGTTTGGTTGGAATATATGGTATATGAAGGGACATAATGGGGAATAAAGGTGAGGCATGATTGTTAATCATTTTAAATGACAGGATAATAAATTTTGTACTCAGTTTGGTTTGTAATGAGGAAACACTGAGAGTTTTTCTGAGCAGGGCAAGAATGATACAATAAGTTGTATCAGAAGTGATGTTTACATCTGACTCTAGTAATGACCAGGTAATGGTATTTACCTGGGTCTTTGATGGTTGGTATGGAAGCCTTCCAAATTCTAAATCAAGCAGATGTGTCAGGACACAGAGGTGAGAAAGCCTCAGAAATCATTTGAAGACAGTTTAATCCAGACTGCTATGAATATAAGATACAACTAGGAGAACTGAGCAGATGGATTTAAAGTAAACACAATGAGATTCTAACGGTTCATATCAGTGATGCTAGTTTCTAGGTTAAAAAAGACCACAGTACATGTAAGTCTATCAAATAAGGAATGTAAATAAATTAACTTTGATTTCTGTTTCTTTGAAGTCAGTTTTTTTGGAAATTTCATGTGCTATGAGTTTTTTTTTTAATTGCAGGTAAATTCACATAACATAAAATTACCATTTAACTATCAAATGTATTTATGTGTTGTGCAACCATTGTCTATTTGGTTTCAGAACTTCTCCATCATCCCAAAAGGAAATCCATAATTATTAAGCATCACTCTCACTCCCCCTTTCACCCAGCCCCAGGCAAACCTAGATGGATGAATGGATAAACAAAATCTGGCCTAGTCAAACAGTGGAATAAATATTTAGCCCTAAAAAAAAAGATTGATACATGTTACATCATGGATGATTACCCTTGAAAGCATTATGCTATAGAAGCTTTACAATTTTGTGTTGTTTCAGTATTAATAGAAATGACAAGTTGTATCACTTTTTATGGTGTGCAGTTGAGAATATCTGTGTAGGTCACAGCGATTACATTTTAATATAGTGACTTTTGAATAGAACTCTGCTGACTCTCAAAGGTTTTTGGTGTATTTCAGAGTTTCATGCCACTATTTGGTTGTTTTTTTTTTTTCCCCTTGTAAATGGGTCCATACATTTCTCAAGTTTGAAAAAGTCTGAGGGTTGTGCCAGGGATCACTTGCAGAGTGCCTCCTAGGAGGTACTCTGGAGCCTCCTGGAATATCCTGCTCAATGGCTGAAGCTCAAGTGCTTCGAGGAGGCAGGCTAATAGCATAAAGGCAGGAAGCTGGCTGGATATGTGAAGATGGAGAAGTGAAAACCTCCTCTAAAGATGGAAGCATCTAGCAATTCGGGATTTTTCACTGAAACTTCTCAATTAGTAGATTTTAGCATCTCATTCAAAAAAATTGTAAAAAACACTGTGGGCAAAACAAACAAATCTGCAGGAGTCAATTAAAGAACTCTGCTAGAATACACATCATGTAGTGAGATAAATCTGCTTTTGAATTCCAATTCTACCTTTTTAGGTTCCCATGATTTCTGGCATATTTCATAACCTTTCTGTGTTTCTTCCCTCAGCAGCAAAATGGGTCTAATGAAGATTTCTCCCTAATAGGCTTGTGATGTCTGTAAGTATTAATATTAAAGCAGTGCTGGCAGAGTAAAAGCTATTAATATTAGATGATATTATCAGCTGATTGTTAATAATTATAGTGCTCAGTCATTGTAGTCATGTCTGACTCTTTGCGATCCTATGAACTGTAGCCTGCCAGGCTCCTCTGTCCATGGGATTCTCCAGGGAAGAATACTGGAGTGGGTTGCCATTTCCTTCTCTAGGGGATCTTCCCAACCCAGGGATCAAACCTGGGTCTCATGTATCCTGCATTGGCAGGCAGGTTCTTTACCACTAGCGCTGCCTGGGAAGCCCAATAATGATATTAATGGCACAGATTCTAATAGGCTCTGCTTTTAGAGGTCTTGGAGTAAATTTGGGGAAGCTTGCTATATCACAAGTGATGATATAGCACCTTTTGTGTTGCATGTGACCTAGGGTGTGTCTTTGGGACTTATCACTCTGAACAGCTGTGTACTAGTTGTAACTAAGGGTCACTTAGTCTCTTTGTGGGGCTCCCCTTGTAGCTCAGCTACAAGGTAAAGAATCTGCCTGCAATGCAGGAGATGTGGGTTTGATCCATGGGTTGGGAAGATCCTCTGGATGAGGGCATGGCAACCCACTCCAGTATTCTTGCCTGGAGAATCCCCATGGACAGAGGAGCCTAGCGGGCTACAATCCATGAGGTTGCAAAGAGTCAGACATGACTGAGCGACTAAGCACAACACACAGCCTCTTTGTAAGCAGTTTTCTCACCTGTGAAATGGCAATGATATATATAGTACCTTCCTCACAGCATTTTTATAGGAATGAAATGATTAATATTTGTAAGGTGCTTTTGACAGTTCCCAGCACAGAGCAAGCAACATATAGGTATCTGTTAAATAATTAGAAATAAATAAATATAGGGCACAAGTTGATCCAACATAAGGTTCTCATTACTACTTTTTCCTCTGAGTGACTGCTTCTCACTGAGGCATTGATTCAACCTGATGGAGGCACTTTGCTTTAGCTGGTATTTTGAATAACATTTTAGAAGGTGCTAGCTCAAGTTATCTGTGTTGTGATTCACGACGGAGCTGTGATCAACACTGACATTATCCAGCTCATCTGGAGACCTTTGAGAATGTCAGGCTTGTTCAACAAGAAAATGTTTTGCAATTTACCTTCAGTTTCTGATTATTTCTGAGCTGGTTCTTCTGGTTATTTTAATGATTGACTAGTTTCAGACTTAGGTGCTAATGTTTCTAGGAGACAAACAAGTTTCCTTAATCAAATTTTGAGAGTTCTGTGGGGCAACAAGTTACAGTGTAAGAGGAAACACTGGAGTGAAGCTAAAATGTAATATGACTTTGGGAAAATCACTTCTCTATTCATTTTCCAAAATGTAAAATTAAGGAATTAGTCTTCTGTGAGTGCTTTGGATACCTTCCCTCAACTTCTTAAAAGCTAAACATTACATGTACCTCTGATACATATCTGGGGGGAGTAGAATTGTGCTGGGTGATCTGAGGTGGGCACTGCCTAGCTCCGCCTTGCGGGCTCAGCCTGTGTCTCAGGGTGGCCCCAGAGGCATCTTGGCAGGAACCTCAGGGCTCCCTGAAACTCGTTTTGAAAACAGCTGGGTAAGATGATGCCTTTAGCTAGCAGACTCTGATTTCAAAATATATACATTTTTTTCCTCAAATAAGGTGAACATATTTTTGCATAATAATTAAATGATAAATACATACATAAATAAATTTGCTTATATAATATTTTACCTAGAGTTGGGAAGTTTGCTATTTAAATGAACCCCATGGTAAAATGAAAAATTCTTTTGTAGTAGGAACAACTCCTGGATCTCTGATTTCTAGATCCTGTGCTTTCCTCTTCTTCTTAAAGTGGGGCACTGTGAACTTGAGACACAATCGTGAAAACTTAGGATGCTAGCTTTTTTGGTACAGTTTCTAGTTTTTGAGTTACTGGCATTTGTCATTCTTTCTACCTCTCTTCAAAATTGGGATCATCTGAAATAAAAAAGAAAAGCTTCCGTTAAAAAAAAAAAAGGTTTCTGAAATTTCACAAAGTATGCTGGCATCACAGCATCCCATGAATATTTAATCATCATCATCAAGACAGGAGGTTGGAGAAAAAAATCAGGTTGTGATATTTGGGAATAGCAGGTGTGGGAAGGAGGGTGTTGACACCCTCTGAAAACGGATATGGCATGTTGTGTGGCAGGTTCCCTTTGCAGTCTCCATGTCACCTGGGTGCTTTACGAAAACTTCAGGGAGAGGAAGCTTGTCCTCACTGGCCCCACACCCTGAAGATGTGGGGGGGCCTCTTTAGAGGCATGGATGGCCAGACTCCTTCCCTTCACAAGAGCCTTCAGGCTTTCTCTTCTGTGAACCTTCACATCATGCAGGTGGCTCTGGCCCCTGTCCCTTGCATCTTTTTTTCTTATTATTGTTGCTAAGCAAAAACTTCTCTTGTGTTTAATCAGGCAGTAAGAGAACAGAAATCCAGCTAAGGATTTTGGATGTAGGTGTTGAAACTCAAAGTTCACCTAGGAGCTCTTGCATCCTACAATCAGGAGCAAGACAGAAATTAAAGGGCTCTGGGTCACCTATGTACAAATTACCTGTCTTCTAACTTTATCACACACTCCCCTCTGCCTATCATCCAGATGTGTGTGTTTCACCACTGCCTCCTTGCAGCAGGAAATGATTCCGCCTCTAAGCTCCTGTCCCTGAGTTCTTCATAGTCTTCATAGTCTGTTCCCTGTTGGAGTTTTCTAACAGTAGATTGAGGAAATGAAACACTCTACTTCTCAAGCTTTTCTGTGCAGAACAGCTATCGGGCAGAACTTCCTAACACAGAGATTCCTGGGCCCACCCAGGGGTTCTCATCTAATAAATAAGGAATCAGTTCAGTTCAGTCATTCAGTCGTGTCCGACTCTTTGCGACCCCATGAATTGCAGAACACCAGGCCTCCCTGTCCATCACCAACTCCTGGAGTCCACCCAAACTCATGTCCATTGAGTCAGTGATGCCATCCAACCATCCTCTGTCGTCTCCTTCTCCTCCTGCCCTCAATCTTTCTCAGCATCAGGGTCTGTTCCAATGAGTCAACTCTTTGCATCAGGTGGCCAAACTATTGGAATTTCAGCTTCAACATCAGTCCTAATGAACACCCAGGACTGATCTCCTTTAGGATGGACTGGTTGGATCTCCTTGCAGTCCAAGGGACTCTCAAGCATCCTCTCCAACACCACAGTTCAAAAGCATCAATTCTTCAGTGCTCAGGTTTCTTTATAGTCCAACTCTCACATCCATACTTGACCACTGGAAAAACCATAACCTTGACTAGATGGACCTTTGTTGGCAAAATAATGTCTCTGCTTTTTAGTATGCTGTCTAGGTTGGTCATAACTTTCCTACCAAGGAGTAAGCGTCTTTTAATTTCATGGCTGCAATCACCATCTGCAGTGATTTTGGAACCCCCCAAAATAAAGTCTGCCACTGTTTCCACTGTTTCCCCATCTATTTGCCATGAAGTGATGGGACCGGATGCCATGATTGTAGTTTTCTGAATGTTGAGCTTCAAGCCAACTTTTTTGCTCTCCTCTTTTGCTTTCATCAAGAGGCTCTTTAGTTCTTCTTCACTTTCTGCCATAAAGGTGGTGTCATCTACATATCTGAGGTTATTGATATTTCTCCTGGCAATCTTGATTCCAGCTTGTGCTTCATCCAGCCCAGTGTTTCTCATGATGTACTCTGCATATAAGTTAAATAAGCAGGGTGACAATATACAGCCTTGACGTACTCCTTTTCCTATTTAATATGCATTTTTAAGGGCAAGTTCTCAGGCCAGTAGTACAGACTCTGCTCATACATCAGATGTTATCTTCAGGGCTGTCTTTCCTGGCCCTGGCCCTAAAGGATGCCCTGGGCTGAAGGTCTGGCCTGAGACTTGGGTCACAAAGCTCACACTGTGGTTCTAGCTTTGGTTCAGATGTCACAGAAAATTGCTGATGTGCCACATTGCTCATGTGGCAGGAGTGTGGCTGAGTCAGGAACCAAGTCAGATGAAAAGGCACATTCTTTCTCCTTCCCCATGGGATTTGGGGAGGAGGATATTTGAGGCTGTCTTGTTTGCCATCTGGACACAGCTCACAGGAACTCCTCAAATGTCATGACAATCATGAAACACGGTCCCTAAAACATAATAAAGATGAAAATTAAGAAGACCTTGGTCTACTGTTCAAATCTACTCAGTAACAAGGTCTTACCCTCAGAGTCTACTGTTCTCTTCATTGTCACACATTCCAGCCGAGCAGAGTGACTAGACTGTTCAAGTGACTGTGCTTGGTGGGGAGGGGTCGGTCAGTCCAAACTGGGTCAAAGGGAATGGGAGCCTCCTTGCCCAAGGTCCCTCCTCAGATACCCACCCCAACTTACTTTTGTCCCTCAGAAGTGTGTTCTCTCTTTGCATCAGAATTCCATAGCAGTTTCTTCTTTGAATCACTCCCTGTAGTCAGAACTCAACTTTCTGAATTGAATTCTTTTGCTGCTTTCATTATTTTGCACTAACTTAGGTTCTGGAAGGTAATCTTCCTCTGTAAATCAGTCTTAAAGTCCTGACACTGATATGGAGGTGATACCAGTTGATACTTAGAACCACAGAATGCCAGCCCTTGAAAGGACTTCACTGTGTGTGTGTCCAAGCTTTCTCAGGTGGTTGACCAGTAGGCCAAAGGCCAGAGAGACACTCTCCCAGAGATGTACTTGCCTAAGATCACCCAGAAAGCTAGTGAGCTAAGACCCAGAAGTACCTTTCTGTGCCTACACAGATGTATAATCCTTTTCATCCTAACTAGTGCTCTTCCTATTTTCCTTCGAGTCTCAATGTTTCAAAAGTGTGTCTCTGTTTGCATTGTAGTTTATCACACACTTTTATTGATATGTTTAAATTTTGTCAAGCTTTGCCTCCTCCTTAGATTTCTTTTCCCCTGAGACATGTAAAATGACTGA